TTCCTCCCTTCTGAACAGCTCAACTTGGAAAGGTCAGTATATCCCTTTGGGAATAATCTTTTCTCATGAATTGGAATGTCTGCATACATAACTGTAGGACATGTTTAACATTTACTCTTTTGGGAGTGCAATTGATTCAATAGAGTGGAATGGTTGTTATTTTTCCATTTTAAAGCCTGTTTATACATCCCAGGCACTCAGGGTACTGAGAGCTACTTCGAGCATTTCTGTCTGGAATCAGATCATCCTGTCCACAAAACTAGCCAACGCCTTAAGCTTCCGAAAGGCAAACTATGTTTCATCTTTTATTTATTCCAAGGGACTCATTTGTGAGACTTTGTTGTGAGTAAAGGCACTAATTTTCCATGGGCTATACATACTCAAACCCTGGACAAGGAGGGAACTGAAATAGGAAGGGAAGCCAAGGGGTTGTTGGGGGTGAGGTGTTGTTATGTGTGCTCCAAGATCTCCTGGAGATCTCCTTTTTCCAACAGTGGTTCCAAGATCTCATGTTTGTTTTTGTGTGGATGATATATTTGCCCAGTGACAAATCAATTCAAGTTCCTAGAATCTTTTCGTATATGAAGAAAAAAAGAACACAGAGTTTTAATAAAGTCATGCTATTCATGATTAGCTGTCTCCAATTTGATAACAACACAAATAATTGTGGTTCATGAAGCTCTTCTTCACCAGAGCCCAAGCTTCCACTCCTCTTGAGCTGATGAAAAATAGCATGTGGTTATATTTGTTTCTGTAGCAACAAGTGGATCCCCCAAATGCCAAATGTTTTTTAAAGTGAAAATGGTGTAGTTTAGTGGCAACTAAAAATAAACACAAAGAGGGACTGCAAGAAAAGAAAAAGCATCTACATATTATTCTGGTTTAGACTACAGGAAGGGACTCGAGTCACCACGGCTCATTATTTTTGGGACACTTCCGATTATTCACCTCCAGAAATAGTTTGCCTTCCATTTCAGCCAAATCCCTCTTGGGGTCTTGTGTGCTGTGTCAGAGTTGGTATGTGTGGAAAAATGATCTCTCCGAGACAAACCACCTAACTCTACACAAACATACCCTCACGTTTCACATCCAATTCCAGTTCTCTTGGCTAGGGCTTTCCTCCTCCAATTAATCCTGTCTCTTAGACCTCAATGTTCTTTTCATGTACAAAAATATTCTCTATCTACTCTCAATATCGGTAATTAAAACACTTTTGTACTTCAAATCCCATTGTAAATACTACTTCAATACTACTTTATTGCTGTTTGCAATAAAATAAAAAAAATCACTCACATTAATTTTTCTTTTCTCTCTTCTACTCACTCATCACCCCACTATCCACTCCAATTTGGTTTCAATCTTATTTCTCTAAAGAAAATGATCTTGACGGTAATAAGACTTATGATTAAAGCTGGTACACTTGAATTTGTTCTCATATTATTTAGCCTCTTGGTAGGATTTCAACACAGTAAGATTCTCTATTCTTGAATTGCTCTCCTCTGGAGCTTTCTAATACTAAAGTAATTGACCTTCTTCTTTATTTTATTCCTGTATAATCTCATCTACCTCATCCGTTCAACACTTAGGTAATCACTGAAGAGCCCTAATTTGTGGTATAATTCTGACAGTTCTCAATAGTTCCACATTCCTCTTTGCAAAGACCCACTTGACCTTTCCACATAGATATTTTGTGAGTTCAAAAAGTGTGGGTGCATGCTACATGCGTTTGGTGTTCAGGGGCCACTTCCCCACCCTGGCTGGCTGCAATGGGTGCACGAAGGAGGAAACAGGGGTCTTTTGGGGTGTTAGAAACTAAGGGCAACAAAGGCTTAAGTCAAGTAAATGTGACAGATGCCCAGGAGTAAATATATTCAGAGTCAATCAACTCCCAAGTTACAAAAATCATAGCATCAACTGTCTTCCTGTGTCTATACAAAAAGGACATTGCTCTAAAGTAAGCTATGCAGGATATAAAGGAAAGAGAAACGCAATATTTCACTTGCATATACAAAATGCAATGTCCTTAGAAGAATTGGACTTTACAAGTCACAGGGTCTGATTTGGGAGTATAAGTGATTAACAGCTAGGGGAAGCAGAAAACAGAGGTTAAAGATAAACACAGAAGAATGGAAGTGGCTTGGAAGAACTGTGATGACTGTAATTCAATAAATCTAAGCTCCCTGCTGCAAGGGAGAAAGGACAAACCAATGTTATATATTGATTTTATATTAATTTTATTATATATTGGGCTGGAGCGATAGTACAGCTGGTAGGGCATTTGCCTTGCATGCGGCCAACCCAGCTGACCTGGGTTAAATTCCTCCATCCCTCTTGGAGAGGCTGGCAAGCTACCAAGAGTATCTCACTCCGCATGACAAAGCCTGGCAAGCTCCCCTGACATATTCTATATGCCAGAAAAAAAAAAAAACAGTAACACAAGTCTCACAATGGAGACGTTACTGGGCCCGCTCGAGCAAATCGATGAACAACAGGAGGACAGTGCTACAGTGCTATTACTATATATTAATTAATACATAAATATACAAAACATTCTACATATAATTAACATATTATCTTTTTATATAATTACTATATTAAAGCAATATATTAATATTGTTTAAATATTCAATGATATTTAATAACTCTAATTTATTTTCCCAGACTTTGTTCTCTTTAACTCATTCCATTCTCAGTAGGAAGCACAACAACATGGGCTGGAGTGACAGTGAAGTGGGTCAGGCACTTCCCTTGCATTGCTCACACCTCGGTTTGTGCTGTGACCCCTGAGAATAGAGCCAGGAGTGATCTGTGCACCTCAGTCCTGAGCACCTCCGGGGGTGAACCACCAAAAAACAGCAACAGCAACAACAACAACAAAACATCACAAACCTGGGTGCTTTAGCCATATAACCAGAAATTCATCCTTAATTTTAATTTTTTTTTTGCTTTTGTGTTTTGGGGGTCACATCTGATCATGCTCAGGAAAGACTCCTGGCTCTATGCTCAGGAATTACTACCAGCAGTGCTTGGGGGACCATATGAGATCCCAGGGACTGATCTTGATTTGGTTTAGTGTAAGGCAAACCAACACCCTACTTGCTGTGCTATCTCTCCAACCCCTTTATTTCTCCTACCTCCACACCTCCAATCTTCTGAAAAATAATATCATCTCTACCTTTAAAATCTATTTTTAATTATCTAACACAATAGCTGTATCCACTTCCACCTCCAAATTGTCAAAATCACACAAACTATTATGAATTATCCCTAAGTGACCTCACTTCTTCCATTTGTGCCTGCTGACAACTCATGCACTTAGAAGTCACAGTTTTCAAAAAAAGAAAACCAGATTTTTTTCAGTCCTTTAAAATTAAAAGTTCAAGCCAATTCTATGTAACCCCATTTATATGACTCATTGTAAACAGCATTTTGTTCACTTCACCTGCTTCCCCACTTGTCTTCCCTACCCACAGTCTACTCAATCCTGCTGCTAGAACTTGCTGACATCTTAAGTGCCACAGGACTTTCTCATATTTTTTTTTTGAGCTGTAAGGGGGAGACCCTCCAAAGTAGTACACAGAGGCCACAGGGGCCACTTCCAGTGATACTTATTTAACCATGTGATGGCGCAATGCTACAGCCAGTGAAGGTAGTGCTGCTCAGTCCTCGCAGTGCTCAGGAACCATGGAAACTCCCCTAAAGTGCCCAGGTATCTCCAGGGCTACCTCTGGAAGTGCTCTGGAAACCATGTGCTGGGAACTGAATAGGGGTCCACCCCTGTGCTAGCTTCCCAGCTTCTGGATTGTTCTTTTTTGCAATCTTTTTACCTCTTTTCCTACATCTTCATACAACTGGTTTTCTTTTTTTGTCCATTAGCACTGGTATTTCTTCAGAGATGTGATCATTAGTTTCACTCATGTCTCAATTAAAAGATCTTTTATCATAAAAAATGACTTGTTTGTTTCTTGGCATGTTGGGTGTCTTTCAAAGGCAGCCGAGTTCCTCGTTAGGGTAGAAACCTGTGTGTCCCCATCATGATTGATGCCAACTGTGTAAAACCCCTAGCTTAGCATAAATTCGGTTGTAAAAACCCAAATGCAGGATAAATGAATTCATTTAACATTGACTTTTATAAGTGCTCTTAGAAGACTTTTAGAAGTCCTCTGCTCTTCCAAGCTCTTGATTTACATCTGTGAACAAAATAGAACAAATTGAACAAAATAGAACAAACAAAATTTAAAATCCTTAACCTCAGAGAACTGATATTTTGTGGAGGAGATGGACAGTATCCAAGGCACATACATGGAAATAAAGTTTATTTCAGGGTGACAAGCGCTTTCTTTGGAAGGGGCCTCTAGTTGAGAATGAACTTGGGATATTCTCCAGGTTTTTATGTAAAGTGGAAAAGGCATTTATTTTGTACACACTTGATCATGGCTTAGCAGATGAACTATGAGATCTGGGGTAATCAACCTCTTTGAAGCTCAACTTCCTCGTCTGTAAAATAGAGATGTAACTAATTCACAAAGCTGGGAGGAGCAGACAATGAAGGAAACAGATAAAATATTATCTCATCCTTTCAAACCCACTCATCCTAGTATGCCAATGTAAGGAAGGCATCTGATACTGCATATTCTGCCTCTCTGCACCCCTAGAATGCTCGAAAATAAAGCCAATCTAACTTACATAAAACACTTAATGAACCCTTACTGTGTAAATATCCACACAGTGGATAATGAAGCCTTACTGTGTAAATATCCATAGAAAATTACATAAACAAGTATGTGAAATTTCAAAGCAAATAATCAATCTACCTTGATCCAATACGTTTTTAATAATTAGAGGAGGAAATCTTCACTTTCACTAAAATTAGTTTTTCTTTTTTTATATTCAAGCCAGTATCATTTTTTTTGACAGATCATGCTTGATAAAGGTGAAAAGATCTACTATCCATTTAAATTATATATCTCATGATATATCAAAGCAAAACCACAGAGACCATTATATAGGAGGATAAAACATTTATTTAAGTGGAAACACTAATCTTTCTTCTCATCATGCTGAAGTTGTGGTTACGAACAGTCTCCAATAAAACACTCTATAGCACTCTCTATAATAAGCAAAAAATAAGTTAATACATTGTAAACTTACGATTTCACCAAGGAACTGGTTTAAGAACAAACAAGCCATTGAAGACTTTGGAGCTACATTAAGTAAAAAACTTCAAACACTCAACCCTTATCAAATCCATGAAGAGACTAAAAGTGCTATTCAAAGATTTTTTTTTTTCAAACCCATTTCACAAGTACATCTGAATTTTTGGTTACAGTCCCCTGCTATGCGCAAGACCATCGGAATGCTGGAACCATCACACACGGGGAAACGGCACGAAGCAGAAGCAAGGACAAAGCATGCCAGCCTTACAGAAGCTGTCCCGAGAGTGCAAACTTGGCATTTTCTCTTCCTGTACCACGGAGGAGGAGAACAGGAACTTCGGACGACGCGGCAGGGTCCTATGCATGCTTTCTTTACACACGGGCAGGACGCCTGGAAGATTCCTCTGGTTCTAAACAGCAAACAGGCTTCAACTAAACATAGTGCAAATCCAACACGGGGGGAGCAAATCGACAGAACAGACACTGCCGCTGGGGGTGGGGGTGGGGGGGCTGGAGGTAGGGTGGGGGAGGGGTGAATGGGGTGCTGTTTCTCCACCTGGCACCACGCCACACGGGGACTGATTGGCACAGGGAAGCGACTGCTACCCTTCAGCTTTTGACGTGGCAGGCGGTGCGGCGGAGCGAGTGCAGGGCCAGCACGCAGCAGCCCCGGAGCAAGGCCCCGATGTTGTAGATGGGATCGACCCCTCCCCTCTGAGTACTGAAGGCCCACAGGACCGTGGGGACCGCGGGGGCAGCCACGGCCAGCAGATCCACCAAGAAGCTGCTGCTCCAGTACTGCCTGGCCACGTCCCCGGGACGCGACAGGGCGGGTGGGCTGGCGCCGTCCAACCTCTCCTTGGCGGGGCCTGCAAAATCCAGCTCCAAGCTCATGAGATGGTTCTCGGGAGCTTCCAGAGCTGCCTCGAGGAGGCCCGGGGTCTCCACGGGAGACAAGAGCCGGGCTGAGTCTGGGGTGTTCGTTGTCAGATCCAGCAGAAGTGCAGAGATGGGGTGTGGGGTGTCTGCGGGGCAGTCAGGCCCAAGCTCTCCCAGGGTGGCCGGGCGGGAGGGACCTGGGTTCTGGAATCGGAGCATGTGCTGGATAAAGTCTGAGATGGCCAGGCCGTAGGGCACCACGTCTGTCTGCACGGCTCGTTCCACCCCTGTGCGGACCTCCTGCGGCTCTCCCTCCCCAGGGAGGCCCTCCCGGCCCTTGGCCTCTGGGGTGGAGTGAAGTAAGTCCCCCTCGTGGGTCTCTCTCATCTCCTCAAACAAATCTGTGCCATCAGCCAAGCTGTCTCCCAGCAGCAGCTCGCTGTCGGCCGCTTCCTCGGCCACCGTCTCCTCCAGCGTCACCCCATCTGCCCTCTTGTCAAAAGGGGTGTTCAGGGCTAAGCTGGTCTCTGGGGAGTCACAGGGAAAGTCGAGACACAGTTCGTCCCTCAGGGAGCCGCTGTGCGCCATCTCCATGCTCTGAAGGAGAGACTCCAGCTTCTTGTTCTGGATGTTGATGTCCAGGAAGTACTTCTGAATGCCCTTGTCGTTGTCTGCCAGGCTGCTCCTCATGGACTCGATGACCTGCTTGAGCTGCTTGATCTCTTTCCTGGCTTCCTTGAGGGCCAGCTGGGCCTCCACCCGGTGGCACTCTTCCTCGATCCAGTCTTCCCTCATCCTGGCCAGCTGCGACTTCAGCTCCACAATCTCAGATTCCCTAGTAGGAAAGACACAGATTAGCACTGAGCCCGGCAACAAGCAACGTGAGTGCTCCAGAGTCCGCCTGGCACCTCTCTCCACCCCACAGAGTGAAACAGTCACAAGAGTATGAGAATCAGCATCATGGGGGGAGGTAGGGGACTCCCTGGGCAGTGCTGGCAGGGTTCTATAGCATTGTAGCATGGTCCTCCCTTTGTTCATCGATTTGCTGGAGTGGGCACCGGTAGAGTCTCCATTGTGAGACTTGTTGTTACTGCTTTTGGCATATCGAATACACCACAGGGAGCTTGCCAGGTTCTGCCATGCGGGCGGGATACTCTCGGTAGCTTGCCAGACTCTCTGAGAGGGACGGAGGAATCAAAACTGGGTCGGCCACATGCAAGACAAACCCCCTACCCACTGTGCAATCGCTCCAGCCCCTGGCAGAGTTCAGGGAATCATATATATGTGGCACTAGAAACTAATTCCAGTTAGCTGTGTGCAAGGTTGCAAGGTAAGTGCCTGAACCCCTGTGGTATCTCGCTGGACCCCGATGTTTTGCTTTTTTTTCTTTTGGGGTCACACCCGGTGATGCACAGGAGTTACTCCTGGTTCATGCACTCAGGAATTACTCCTGGAGGTGCTCAGGGGACCATATGGGATGCTGGGAATCAAACCTAGGTCGGCTACGTGCAAGGCAAACGCCCTACCCGCTGTGCTATTGCTCCAGCCCCTGTTTTCCTTTTTTTTTTTTTTTTTTAAGGCATCGTATAAGAACTTCATGAACCTTTTCTCAATCCAACAGTGTTTTTTTTTTTCAAGGTTTGCTGTCTTCCCCTATTGCCCTCTCTGGATTGGACAAATCATCCCAGGGATTCCTAAATACATAAACCAAAAGTTTTCAGAAAATAGGGTCTAACTGCACCCTGGCTTGGCAGGGCAGCTACCCTGGTTGGAATTCTGCTTTTTGTCCATCCCAAAACCTTCCTGTGGAAAACCATCCGGCAGAAAATCTGGCCTGCTCCAAGAAATCAAAGGTCTTTCCTCTCTGAGATAAGATCTCTCAAACAAGGGACTTTTCCCCGCCCTTCCCACCTTAACACTCAGCCAAGAATAATGAAGTGCTTCCTCTGGAACAGAAATAGCTGCAGGAATCACAATGCAGCCGCCGTCCTCTCAGACCCAGGGCTGGAGAGGCATGTACTGAACGACTCTGTGGGCCCTATGGGACTGTGCCTGCCACATACAAATAGACATACACCCAGCTCTTTAGATCTGAGTGGACACGCCCAGAAAATAAGCTGAGGTCCCGCCAACAGAGGGAGGTGGGCAGGACTGTTTCAGACCCCCAAGAACAGCCACAGAGGATTATAAAATGACTCTTTTGAGAAGTGGATTTAAGACACCTGACAAAATTAAATGAAATCTTTTTCTACTCTTCCATGGTTTGAGTGTGCGTTCCCCTTTCTGGACAAAGCAACTGCAGTTAAGCCTGGCTATGGAAGAAAGGGGCAGCGGTCACCTCTCATGAAGACGGCGCTCGGATTCCTTCAGCTTGGTCTTGAGGTGTCTCACCGTCACCTCCTTCTGCTGCAGAGGAGTCAAATACTGCTCAGGACTCGGGGGCTTGACCCCATGATTTTCACCACAGGACAGGTACCTTCCGGGCCGCCTGAAATAATCCAAGTAATGAAATAACTTTCTTTATATTCCAAAAAGTGAAGGCCCAGCTCACCCTTGAGGGTGAAGGTAGACAGAGAGAGGAAGAGGGAGGGAGAGAGAGAGAAAGAGAGAGAGAGAGAGAGAGAGAGAGAGAGAGAGAGAGAGTCAGAGACAGAGACAGAGACAGAGACAGAGTGAGAGAGAGGAGAGAGGCAGAGAGTGAGAGACAGAGTGAGAAAGAGGGAGAGGAGGGAGGGGTGAGAACTGTGGTGAAGAAAGATTCCATCTTAAAGTATATGTGTGTGTGTGTGTGTGTGCGCGCGCGCGTGTGCGCACGCGTGCGTGCGTGTGCAGGGGTGTGCAGACCAAAGGGATTTTCTATGGCTTAGAAATGATCTCATATAAAATAATGCCTAATTGTCTGCCGGGTGGCCCGATGGTCCCGAGGAACGCTGTTCTTCTCACACTATGGAGGACAATGGGGGCAGGAGGGAGGGACGGAAGGGAGCGAGATGACCTAACTTTTCACACAATGCGCCCCTGCTCTGAGAAAGCCCAATTGTCATGGGTTGAATTCCAATTGTTTCCAGAGCAGTCCCCAGCAGAAGCACACCATGACCAAATGGGCCTCTCTGGAAGGGAACAGGACCACTCTCCTCTCTCTCCAGCTTGCTTTGGAAAAGAGATACTGAGAGTTCCCCCAAAACTTCCCCAGCAGGCTCCCGGCTACAAGTAGTCCAGAGGGCACTGCTACCCAGAAGGAAGGGGGCTGAAGGAGGAGCTGGCAGCTGCTTCCCTGACTGGACCCGCCAAGCTGGACACTGTTTCTGCTCCCCACACCCCACCCCTCCAAGTTGGCCAGGGTTCATGAGGATGCACATTTCTTCCTCTGGACACCCTCCCTACCCCAGGGACCAATGCATTCCTTGCTTGATCTTCTGCTCTCATTGCAATGTCATCTCCTCAGAGAGACCCTCTGAGTCCTCAGTACTCACTTGCCTGCCCACCACCTCCCAGCTCTTTTCTACGAACATAAAAACAGGCACTTGCTGAATCATCTTACTGCGATTTTTGTCTTGAGATGCGCCACTGGGCTCTGGACACTAAACACTCAGGCCCTTTCTGCTTGCTGGTCAGTGTCCGGCCCTCTAAGATGGGTACCTGGAACAGCAAGACACTCAGTGATCACCTAGTGTCTGAAAGTGCGAGGAAGTATAAGGCAGTGACCCTCTTTTCCTACAGACTCAAGCCAATTGGCTTCCCTCTTGGGTTACTTTCTGCCCTGCGGAATCTTAGTAGAGACGACAACGTAGGGGCCTTCTTGAGCAGTCCCGGAAGTTGATCATCTGAGTGTGAGATAAGGAAAACCAAGTGTTCTCTAGCCAAGTAAGGTATGAGGTGTAAAGCTGCTGTATTGTTCTTTGTTTTTAGTATTTATTTTTATGCAGTACCGGATTTGAACCCGAGATCTCTACCAGTGAGCCAATCCTCTCCTTTCCGTATATGTTTGCTTTCATTCAGGATTTCTTTTGTGTGTGTGTGTATTGGTGTGTGTGTGTGTGTGTGTGTGTGTGTGTGTGTGTGTGGGAGGGTGGAGGTGATGAGGGTGATATGTCGGATCTTGAACCCAGGATCTTTCAGCAAATGCTCTACCACTCAGCTGTGTCACCTGTCCTGTTTGTTAGCTTTGAAAGAAAATTCTGCCAAGACAAGGCGTAAGGGTGTTTGGTAACGGGTGCTCACCGCATCACGGGGCTACAGTCACTTCCTTTGTAGGAACCGGAGTTACTGCTACTTGGAGAAGAAGGTGCGTAACTGGGATGCAGGTGGAGAGGATTCAGCTGGTTCCTGCAGAGCACGGAGAGAGGGTCCTTCTCCCGGGGGGATGGGGGGCTGTTCCCAGACTTGTGCGATGACACTCCATTACTCCGCCCATGGGGACCTCGGCTAGGAGAAAATGCAGGAAAAAATGTTCAAATTCCTTAGGATGACTGGGGCCCCGATGCTAATGTTTTACTCCTCTTCGGAGCTAGTTGCCATTAAGGAAATCTAATTTATAGAGCCTGAAGGCACTGAATCGTTTTTAGGACAAAACTGTCCTGATGAGCCGTCCTTGTGAGCACTTGGGACTTTGCCTCTTGTGTCATTAGCACAGGTAACCTCTCTCTCTTTGCCCTTCTCCCAGATAGTTTGCCATCACCAAGCTTGTTTTGAATGAAGTATCATTGACTGCTTAAGCCCCAGTCACATAAAAATACTGATTTGGTTTAGGTTCACGTTGAGGCTCTTTTGAAGATGTGGTTTTATTCCAGTGATACCTGTTTCAGCTTGAAAACGATTTGGTTTGGTTCCCACTGGGACAAGTAAAATGAGGTCAGTTTATTTGATGGAAATAGAAGAGAATGACAAAATGGCATGAACTGAGCCCACATCCATCTCTCATTTTAACTACCCAATTCCCGCACCTACCCTTGCTTTCTTTCCATTCCCAATGACTTAGCACAACATGCACCATTTAATTGCTAGGTTCTTATTATCACTCATCTCATTGCTCTCTCCTCTTGCTTTGTCACCCCCATCCCACCAAGAAGAGTCACCCATGCATGTCATTGTCTTTAAAACTACTCAATTCTGGTCCCCGCCTCCAGAATAAAGGCCAGGCTTTTTTTTTTTTTTAATTTGTCTTTTTGGTTTTGGTGTCACTCCCAGGGGTGATCAGAGCTTATTCCTGGATCTGTGCTCAGGGATCACTAATGGCAGGCCGGGGTTCCAGGGGTTGAACCTGGCTGACCATGTGCAAGACAAGCATACTATCATTGTACTATCACTCTGGGTCGGAAGCCAGACTCCAATACAGTTCCAGCATGCCTCTAATGGACTGCCCGTCCCTCCTCCTCCTTCCCTCTATCCCAGCTTCCAAACAACTTAGTTTCGAGATGATCCTTTCTCTCTCCGACATCATTTATGTTTGAACTTTTTTCTCTGCCTAGAATGCTCTGTTCTTATTCCCTATCCTCAGCCTCCAGATTGTGTTCTCCACGGAGAAGACATCTTTCTTCCTTAGTCTGGTGCAACTGTTGCTCCTTGCTGCTCTCTAATGCTCCGTGCAAAATTCCCTCCTGGAATATGTTGCTGCATTGCAGCTACTTATTTCTTTGCCTTCCCCATGGACCTTGGGCATCCTGGAGTTGTTGCTGTGCCTCAGGAACATCCTTAATCTTTCCTTCATGGTATACGCTCAGTACTCCTTAAATGAGTGCTAATGAATCAACTCAGTGAGAGTCCTGGAATGGCCATTTATGAGGAACTTAAGCAAATAATATATTTAACAGAGATAAAATATATATATATAATATAATATAACAGAAAGATATAATAATCTTTCCTGCCTTCCTCACAAAGTCAGTACGAAAAAAATCAAATCAAAGAATGCATGTAAGTACATTCAGTAAAGGGTGTGTGTGTGAGTGTGTTTGTGTGTGTGTGTGTGTGTTTACTGCCAGGAATCAAACCCATGTCTTCAGCTTGTTTGGAAGCACTTTACCACTTAGTCATATCCTTCACCCTATTCAGTAAGCTATAGGGGCAATTCAAATGTAGGGTATTATTACAGGGTAAAACTTGCTTGAATTTCCCTGTTAATCTAGTCCAGACATTTGACACTCGCTAAGTAAAATAAGCAAGCAGCTTGAGACTGTTAAATTACTTAAACAGGATAACAGGTATGTGTCAGGAATATGTCCTGTTGACATTACAAGAAAACAAAGGAGTACAAGGTACCTTTCATAGAGCAGAGCTGCATTTTGCCAGTTTTAATAATAGCTGTATCCAGCCCTGTGTACATGTGGATGTGTTCACATACTTGACTCCAAAACCATAGAGCTTTGCTTGACATCAAATACAGTATCAACAAGCTGTCAACTCAATAAGCCAGACATAAGGGAACATCACCAAATTCTTCAGTAAAGCAGTTCTTTCCTTTTGAAGCAATCCAAATGGACTATTTTCTCTTCGTGAGGGACACTTTATAGGGAACAGATGGGCTGATGGCTCTCTGACAAACCAGTGTTGGCAGCCCCGGGGTGGGGAGGAGCTCGGACCATCGGAAAGTTACGCACTCTGGTTAGGATTGGCTTCTCCATGCTTCACTTCTAAGTTTGGCACCAATGGGCCTATTTCTTCATGCAATTGGGAGATATAAGGAGGATTAACCACCCCACAAGTTAGGAGAGAAAGCAAAGTGCTAATTCCTGCTTTTGACCTGGAATTTCTAGTTGAATTAACCTCCTTGAGGTCTTCTCACAACCCTTGATGACTCCAGAAACTCCTGAATATAGCACACTTGTTCCTGCCATGCTATTAAGCAGATACAGTGATTCTCCCCCACCCAACTCTACTTCCATCATTCTATCTACTCTATTATGTGAAAGCAACTGAGTCAATCAGGTCACTGAAAGTCAAGTCCAAAGGGAACACAGGTTTCCTCAACTATTTGAAAATGAATCACTTCTAGGAGACTTTTTATAAGCAGATGTGGCCTAAGATTTATGTGTGATAATTGGAGTTTTGCCAGCGCTCCAAAATAACCTATCAAATCAAATGAGGCAACATAAAATAGAAAGGAATACATACACAGTCATCAGTGGTGGAAAATGTACACTGGTGAAGGGATACATATTGAAACACTATATGACTAAAACCCTATCGTGGACAACTTTCTGTTTATCTTCATTAAATTAAATGAAAAAAAAAACACACAAAAAACAGGCATACAGTCAAAGCAGGAATGACAGGAGAAAGACATAGGTTCTAGAGATGAGTGGTTGCGGAGAAACTGGAAAATTCCTCTCACTGTTTGGGGGTCAGGGCTTCATGAAGGCTGACATAAAATGAAGGCCCATGAGGCTGGAGCTATAGTACAGCAGGAAGGGCATCTGCCTTGCATGTAGCTGACCTGGGTTTGGTCCCTGGAATCCCATATGGTCCCCTGAGCACTGACAGGAGTAATTCCTGAGTGCAGAGCCAGGAATAACCCCTGAGCATCACCGGGTCTGACCCAAAAAGTCAGAAAAAAAAAACAACCCAAACAAACAAAACCAGCTAAGGCCCAAAGCACTTCCACTTTTGCCTTTTAATTTCTTTTAAGAGTAAAAAAAAGAAAGAAAAAAAGAACACTGTTGGAGTTTTCTTTCAGTGAGCAAAAACAGGTACAGCAGAGCTTCAAATAACATTAGTTTGTTCAACAATGTTTCATTATCATCTTGATGAGAAAAAAACAACCCCAGCAGGTACTGAAGGAAATTCCATTATTTGGGAACTTGCTTTCATGATATGTTGTTTCTATTAAGCTTCCAAGAATCTCTCCATGACAGTAGGTGAAGAGGCCAATTAAGCAAAGTGGATAACTCAAACTTTCAAGAAAAAATTTGGGAGTCCTTTACCTTTAATGGAAATAGAAAATGGTTTTCCTTCTATGGAAAATGGTGTGGATATTTCTCAAAAAAAATTGCAAATAGAACTTTCATATCATCCTCCACTTCCAGTGCTAAGCAACTATTTAGAGAATACAAAAAAAAAAGCACCAATTCACGGAGCTGGAGCAATAGCACAGCGGGTAGGGCATTTGCCTTGCATGTGGCTGACCCAGGTTTGATTCCCAGCATCCCATATGGTTTCCTGAGCACCGCCACGGGTAATTCCTGAGTGCAGAGCCAGGAGTAACCCCTGTGCATCACCGGTGTGACCCAAAAAGGAAAAAAAAAGCATCAGTTCAGGAAGGAAAACACACATTCATCGAGGCAATATATAGAAGAGCCAAGATACATAGGTTCTAGAGATGAGTTGTTGCAGAGAAAATGGAGAATTCCTCTCACTGTTTGGGGGTCAGGGCTTCATGAAGGTTGACATAAAACGAAGGCCCATGAGGCTGGAGCAATAGTACAGAGGGAAGAGCCCGACAACAGGTGTGTGAGTAAAGAAGATGCGGACAATACACACAGCAAAGTACTGCTCAGCAATAAGAAAAAATGAAATCTCACCCTTTGCTAAAACATGAATGAAGTTGAGAGTGTCAGGCTAAGCAAAGTAAATCAGAAAGGGAAAGACAAATACTGGATGAGCTCACTCATACATGGTTAATAAAGAAACAAAGCAAGGGAACAGTCAACCCCCAATGAAAACAGAACTTTAGCTCCAACAACAGAATGGAAGTCACAAAGTGGGTGGGGAGGACAGATGTGAATATGTTGGTGGTAGATGTGGCATGGTAACATTGTATTCTTGAAACATAAATATTTGTACTCTCATAAACCATCAATAAAATTTAAAAAGAGAGGGTAGGAGAGATATCTCAAAGGGCTGAGCACAGGCTTTGCATATGGAAGGCCTGGGTTTGAGCCTGGTATCACATTCTCCCTCTTTTGCCCGAGAATTGCCATGAACAACTCCCCAGTAAGGGTCTAGAGGAGCACATGAGCATCTCTGAGGGGGCAGGAGTGACACCCTCCACGAAGAAAAATAAAGCAAAGGATATCTGTATATTATTTTGAGTTAGAACACAGGTATTTAGGTACTGCCTATATTACATTTAAAAAACCACCACTGATTTCCTTTGTGTGATATATGCACAAAAATGCATGGTGACACACAACTTCAATTAGAAGAGGTTCTTACAAGAATTTGTCCTTTATAAAGAAGAAAGCAAGAACGTGTTATATTATCAAACAATTTTAAAGTGAAATCAAGATATCGCATATCCTTCAGACAGTATCAGATCATTTGTGATAGCCAACTTTTAAAACAGAAGTTGCTAGTGCTATAAAGAAAAATCTCACCTTAGTTCTTTGCATTTAGCTTAGTTCAAATGCTAACACAGAGGGGGCTGGAGCTATAGTACAGCGGGTAGAGCGTTTGCCTTGCACACGGCCGACCCGGGTTCAATTCCCAGCATCCCATATGGTCCCCTGAGCACCGCCAGGAGTAATTCCTGAGTGCATGAACCAGGAGTAACCCCTGTGCATCGCCAGGTGTGACCCAAAAAGCAAAAAATTAAAAATAAAATAAAACAAATGCTAACACAGATTATGAATGATGATGAATAAAGCATTTTGAGAGGAAAAGCCACAATTCCACATTGGTCATGGTTCTGAACTGGCAAACTCAATGCTACTCTGGTGGACTAAAGGAGTGTAGGCCAAAACAGGAGAATTTTGCTGGGCCCTTCTGCATCCCTGAACCCAGGAAACCGTTATGTGAGAGTGAAAGAGATACAAAGGAGGAACCCTCAAAGGGAATCCACAGGAATTTCTGTTTCTCAGATCCTGCCCTCTACTTCAGATAACAGTGCTGTGATACCTCCCCCCTTCATCACCACCATCATCATCATCATCATCATCATCATCATCATGGGTAACTCTATAGGCTGACCTGAGTCTTCCCCAAATTTATATGTTTATAGAAGCCCTAACTCCCAGCACCCAAGCAGGATTTGGAAAGGAAAGTTATAATAAGTGGCATTCCAATTAAAAGGAGGCCCTGGGTTTAGGCACTACTCTAATTTGACTAGTGGCTAAAGATGAAGACAATGGAGATGTTACTGGGCCCGTTCGAGCAAATCGATGATCAACGGGAGGGCCTTTACCTTACCTTACCTTAAAGATGAAGAAGGAAATGTGGACACAATTGGGCAGAGATAAAAATGATAAAGAAAAAAGGAACAAGATGGCTACTTCCAAATCAAGGAACCAGCCCTCAGGAAGAAGCCAATCACGCCCACACCTTGATGCTGGACTTCTCCAAAATTTGAGACTCCACAATTGTTGGAGCCAACTAGACTATAACATTTTATTACGGCAGTCCGCACAAGGCCTGTCAACACCATCATTACCCTCATGATAATCACAGCCATCCTTCCCACTACATCCACTCCCGCCCTCCACATCTATTATACTTTTACCTTTAGTGACTTCATCGGCTGTTTATTGACCTTCCTAAGTTCTGGGCCATGTACTCAACACATAATTCCTTGAACTCAGCAGGTAGAGATCTCCAGAATCGGAAATTGGGACAGATGATGAGGCTAACAAACAACGGAGGCTTGAGAAGGGACAGCGAAAGCTTAATACAGGATTAAGGTGTTTGTCTTGCATGCAGTCAACCTCCACCACAGGTGTAGGAGTGACTGCTGAGCACAAAGTCAGGACTAAGCCAGGAGAAGCTGGGTTCAAGACACCAATTATGAATAAGCCTAAGAAATCAAGGATTCAAGACTAGAACATTTTCTGCTACTCAATATCATTTACATTACTTTGGGATTTAATCATAAACACAAGTTTTATAAAAAAATGATATGTAATACATTTTGCTGCTTCTATAGGTCAGACCTTTTTCCTTTCTGCTTTTTTTTTTTTACCTGGAATCACAGGTAAGTGCTAGTTTCTTTAGCAGATTAGAGAAACCATTTACTCTCAGAGCGAGTCACCTCTGATTTATATTGAGAATGTTTATATTCATGGCCTTGATCTTAGTAGAGGTACTTTGTTGCCAAAATAGGTGACATTTGGGGATAAAGCAAAGGTGTTTTTTCACTGTGGACATCATTCCTGTTATGGTATGCTTTAAACTTTGTTTTGAACAATAAAACTGTGTCTCATTTCCTTGTATTAGCAAAGCCTCAGTTTCACCTTCTCCCAAGAAAAATGAAAAATACTTGCTCACTGACTCTTGAACACATAAGCTTTTAGAATTCTACTTAGTAGCTTTTTCTCTAGAAAAAAAAAAACCTTTGAATTCATGTTATTCAATTTCCTTCACAAATGTGGACACTGCCCATAGCCAAATGACTCTCCCAAAGCCAAAATGAAAAATCCTTGTCTCTTGGCCCTTGGCTCACACCATCCCCTTATTTGGGTCCCCACTAGAAGTGGGGCCTCACAGAGACCTCTTGGGACCAACAACCTGCCTGAAATATACTATCCAGTTCATCATCAAAGATATCCTTTCCCCGTGTATTCAAAAAAAAATCCTATAATTTGTATATATATGGTCTTCTCTTCTATGCCAAATCCAATTTCCTTGGAGTGGACTGCTCACCTGTCCAGCTGAATCAAGAAACGTTTATTGGGTGAGTAAATAAAGTCACTGGCAGAAGCAAAGAATCCCAAGGCTTGCAATCCACCCCATCCGGTTGCCCTTCTTTAACTTTTATGGTGCTGGAGATGAAAGCCATGGGCCTGGCCACAGAGCCACGCCCCCAGCTCTCATCCCAAAACTAACATCATCAGTGGTAAATACTGATGGATGCTTACAAGGCTCCAAGAACAAATGAAAAAATTCAATCCTTACACTAAGCCCAGGAGATGAGTTGGAGGCGAGCCCTATTTTATAGACAGGAAAATCTGAGGCACAGAGAAGTGATGTGCTCAGTGCCACACGGTGTGGCTCCAGAGTCCAGTGCTCAGGTGTGCTGCTCTGATGTCCCCACAGTGGGTGCCAACCACGTCTCTGGGCTTCCTCCTTTCACAGGAGGATATTGGGAGTGATGGGGGTTCACTAAGTCTCTCCTTTTTTTTTTTTTTTTTTTGTTTTGATTGTTTGTTTTGGGAACGCACTGGGCTGTGCTCTGGGGGATGAAACCTGGCAGTTGGTTGGGACTTAATGCAGTGCTGGGGATTGAACCCAGGTCACCGCATACCAGGCATGTGAGTTTCAAAACCTAAAAATGCATGCAGCTAGCTGAACGCAAGCGAAACCTGCTGAAACCGATTGAAGCTGAATAGAGACCAAGCTCGTGGCTCTGCAGAAACACCAAGCGCAGGCGAGGCCCCGGGGAAGGTGCATTGCTGTGCAGACTCGAGGGGAACCTACTTGCGTGGGAAGGATGCCCGCTTGCTCCCCGCCGCCGACATATGGACCTCCGGAGCAGAAATGCTGCCAGTGCTGCTGGAGGAGCTGAAATCCGCTTCACTACCTGGAAAACAGCAAGGGCGGAGAGAGAAGTGTGAGGAAACGGGCCAGTGCCCTGCCCCCAGCCCCGGGGCTCCCTCGAATACTGGCGCCCGGGCAAGGGGCAAGATGCCAATGTTTGCTGAGCTCCCTGCTCCCCGCCCCCCTCCCCCAGCAGATGCGAGAAAGGCAGCACAGCGAGACCGTTTCCTCAAGAACGCTTGGGGGGTTCCTGAAGGTGGGCTCTTCCCGCAGACCACCGACAGGGAACCCGGAGTCTAGGATAAGTGGGGGGAGACACGCACCGTCCTACCCCAGGGGTCAGCCACTACATCACCGGCGTCCTTGTATTTTGCTCCCCAAAACTCCCAGCAGCTTGAAATGCATGCTGGTCAGCCCAAGGAGTTTTTCCAAGAAAGTTTATCTTTGGGCTTTCAGAGTGAGCCACAGCCCAAACTGCCACTTTAGTGTGGGGATAATGACCCCGTTTAGGAGGGAGCCTGGATGGGGGAAAGGCTGGGCTGGGGGAAGGGCTGCAGCCTCTGCCCTCTGATTACTGTATGCCCTCTGATTATTTACTTCTCAGAGGCTAGCTACAGTGCTCCCACAGAAAACAGAACTTTAACCAAAGAGCTGGGGAATTGAGCCTTTCTAAACAGAAGACTAGGGATGGGGGATGGAAGGAGAGAAACCCAGGACATTGTTGATGGGAAACGTACTTTAGTGAAGGGATGGGTGTTGGAACACCCTATGACAGAAACCGGATCATGAACAATTTTGTAAGTGTGTGCCTAATAGTGATTTAATAGAGAGAGAGAGAGAGAGAGAGAGAGAGAGAGAGAGAGAGAGAGGAAGGAAGGAAGGAAGGAAGGAAGGAAGGAAGGAAGGAAGGAAGGAAGGAAGGAAGGAAGGAAGGAAGGAAAAAGGTTGACAGAAACACGGTGAATGACATAAAGTTAGAAAGCTATGTTTTGGAAGCAAGGTTTTCTGTGCCCCTCCCCCACTTAGATTCAAAGATCATAGTGCACTGAGAGTATAGACTGGAACTGGGTGTAGTTTTGGAACCACGCCCAAATTCATGTATAACATCAACAAAACCACGTAACTCTGGAATAGTCCTAATGGAAATATCTCATGGACTGCGGGGGAAATGAAAGCGGAACAGACCAAAGGAAAAAGATTAAAAATAATCCCAATGAGAAAAAACAAGTGAGAAGGAAAAAAGAGAGGATTAAGAAGCAAAGGTGAAATTCCACATGCTTTTGGAAACTCAGTTCTCAGAGACTATTTTATGTGCCTTCTCAACTCCTCCGATACAGTTTGTGACACTTTGGCTCTAGATCCCAGTTCACATTTCTGACTTGAAGATGTATCGCTCCTACCCAGCAATTTCCTAATAAGTTGTGAACAACAATGATCATAACAACTATTTATTGGGTGCCAATTCAGTTTGGGGCCGTAGAGGAATGCTTCCTATTTTTCAACTTGAAAAGGCTGTTAAGACAGACATTCATCTCATCACGCTGTTGAGGAAACCCAAACCAATGTGCCTAAATGCTGCATTTAGAACCAAACTGTCACTCTCTCTGTGACGCAGAGCTGTGTCATCAGAAAGGAGTGGGAGAGTCGGGTGCGAGGGGGCTCCGAATACATGATATATACAACCCTCCCCGAAATAGTCAAGATAAGTAATAGGCACAAGATGGCATCAGACTGACCCACTGGTGAACAGGTTTCGCTCACTGAAAGATTTCATTATTTTTACTGGGAGGAGCGTGAGGCAGTTACCGCAGGACAGAGAGAAAACTCCTGCCCCAGCTTCCAGGACTTCTCACAAAGTTCAGCCTCTTCTGGAAAAGAGATCAAGAATGACTTCTCAGCACTGAGCACATCAGGGAATCCCAATTCCCTACAGAACTCTGGCACCAGGAAGATGGAAGTTGATCAGAACCAAGATTAGCTACTCCTTCTGGTTTGGGGAGACTTTGTCTAACAATATAACAAGTTCTGAGAAGCTCTGTGAACTTAATGAGCGACCTCTGTAATATGCAGGCTGAACTGTAGTATTTTGAAATCTCAAGGATTGAAAATAGGTAGCATTATCCAGCTGCATTCTAGTCCTGATAGCCTAATTCAACCAGCCATGATCTGCTGATAAGCTATCACGATGGCCATTACATGATAAATGCAGATGATTAAAAAAATTGATCTGTTCTAGAGAGACAGTCTAGGGGTTAAGGTATTTGCCTTACATGTGGCTGACCTAGCATCACATATGGTGTGCTGAGCACACTGGGGGTTTACTCCTGAGCACTGAGATAGGAATAGTCTCTGAGCAATGTAGGGTGTGGCCCAAAAAGGGAATGAGAGGAAATGTGGGGACATCGGTAGAGAGAAGTAGTCACAGGGGATGGGATGAGGTGGAAACATGAAACCCCGTTGTCAACAACTTTGTAAATCATGGTGTGGAAGGTAAAGGTAAAGATAAAGGCCCTCCCGTTGATCATCGATTTGCTCGAGCGGGCCCAGTAACGTCTCTATTGGAGATTTTGTTGTTACTGTGTTTGGCATATCGAACACATCACGGGTGGCTTGCCAGGCTCTGCCGTGCGGGCGAGATACTAGCATGGTGTGGAAATAATAATTTATTATTATATTCTATATAAATAATAAATAATTCTGTGGTTGGTAAACTTCAGGTCTAAGGTGGGATTTTCTAATGTGAAATTATTACTCTAAAACACCTATTCGCCTTCCCCCCGACAGTGCCAGGCATTGTACCCAGGAACTCACACAAGCAAGGAAAATGCTCTGATGCTCAGTCATTTCCCTGGTTCCCCAAAATAATGATTTTCATGCCTTAAAAGATACCCCAAACCCACCAAGATCCCATCATTGTAATTTAACTGTCTGCTTAAAAAGTGAAATTCTAGAACAACTACAGAATCACTGTCACCTTGCAGGTGAATCCATGGTAGTTAGGAACTCTGCACTCAGGGGCAGTGTTGTTCTATACTTTATTACTACTAGAATTTAATACACCAACTCTGTCCCTGAGCAGGGCGGAGGGCCACTTTGTTCTGGACTTTTTTAACTCATCTTTTGCATATTAGCCCAGACACCCAGCAGTGGCCAGAGTTTGACTATTGCAAGGTAAAAAAAAAATTACATTTATTATTTAGGAGTGTGAGTTTGGGCCAAAGGGCTCAAAAAGACTCAGGTGTGCTCAGGGATGACTCCTGGGTCTGTGCTCAGGAATCATGTCTGTCAGGGTCAGAGGACAACATGCAGTGCAGGGGATCAAACGTAGATCAGCCGGATATAAGACAAGCTTTTATGTGCTGTACCAGATCTCTAACCCTTATTGTATTCCTTTTAAGGAAAACATGGAAAAGTCAATATTACTAACTCATCTGATAACCTCTCTGCTTTTCCTAAGCAGGAGAGTCAAGAAGAAATCTAGAGACGTGAATTCGCTCCCGGTATTACATATAGACACAGAAAGAAGAAAAAATCTTTATTTGTTTCCTTTAAGTGGTGTGTGCAACTGTGGTGTTATGATATTGTTATGTTCTGTGCTCTTTTAATGACTAAAATAATACTAAGAGAATACCTAAAACTCTTAATAGGAGGTAAGTTGGTGCAACTTCTATGGAAAATGGTATGGAGAATCCTTTCAAAAAGAAAAGGAAAGGAAACGTCCTATTACTCATGTCCCAAAAACTGATACCAGTTCTAAGCTTTTATCTGAAGTACGTAAAGACACAAATTTGGAAGGTGATTTGCACCCAATGTTTATAACAGCATTATTCCCAGTAGTAAAAACATGGACTCAATCTAAATGCCCAACAAAATAGGAACATATAAGGTAGCTGTGTTATAAAATCACAGTGGAGTATTAGTTTCCACTACAAAGGATGAAACTGTATCATTTGGAACAAAATGGATGGAGATTGAGGTGAAAATGCTGTGAAATAAAGACATGAGAGACAGTTACTAGATGGTTTCAATTCGTGTGTGAAATACAAACAACTAAAGCAAACAACTTTTTTTTTTTTAAAAAAAAGCCAAAACCAACTCTTGGACTTGGCAAAAGTCCCAGGGTCAGTATGAGAGAAAGGAGAGGAGAGGGCATGAAGGAATGACTAGGGGGTTGTTTTGGTGGTAAAACAGAGCTGAGATTTTGCAGTGGGAACAACTGCATCCACACAGAGGCCCAGCCCCTGAAACTCCATAATATTATGAGGCACTTAAAAAAGCGGGAATCAGATTCCTATTCAGAAAAAAAATAAAACTGATTTTGCTGATTTAAAAAAAAAGTCAAAAAATCTGGAGAGGGAGAGCACAGGTGTTTAGCCTCTGCACACAGCTGACCCTAGTTTGTTGCCTGAGTATCACCAGAAGTGATCCCTGAGCAAGGTGAGGAGTTAAGCCCCAAGAATTGCCACATGTTGTTCCAAACCTAAAAACTTCCTGCAAAAATAGGGAACAAAAGGGCGGGGGAAGCACCTAGACTAAAAACATCTGAAAGCAAATTCAAATCCCACCTCTGCTGCTTGCTAACTAGGCTTAATGAAGGATCGTAGGACATTTATTTCAGCAGTTATATTTTTAATCTGTTGAATGGATATGATAAAATAAGTGAATGTATTTGATAGATATAGGTATATTTGATAGATATTTGTAAGCCAGTGTAATAATATAGCAGATAGGGTGTCTGCCATAGAGGCAGGGGAAGGGGATTGATTGGAAGGAAACTGGGAACGTTGGTGCTAGGAAACATACACTGGCAGAGGGATAGGTGTTAGAACACTGTATGATTGACACCTAATCATGAACAGCTTTGTAACGGTCTATCTCACTATGATTCAATAAAAAGATCTTTAAAAAAAATAAACCACCAAATGTAAAACCAAACAATAAAAGAAGTAGTAGAATCAATCAATATTAGAAACCCAGAAGGTCTGACTGACGGGGGGGGGGGGGGGGGGGTACTTGGCCTTAATCATGTTTAACAGTCAATAG